CCCAGTCGCAGCGCGACAATACTTCGAAACGGCAGCCAACCTGGGCGATACCGACGCGATGAACGAGGTTGCTTGGTGCTACCTAGAAGGGTTTGGCGGGAAAAAGGACAAGGTTAGTGCTGCTTGCGTAATGGTTCATTCGTGATGATTATCGCAACATGATCTGCCCGTGTCCTGAGGGTCTCGCAGCTCGGGCATCAATGCCTGAAGCCCGCATCACTCTTTGGATCCATCGGTGCTATCTGATCATCTGTATGAGCAGTTGACTGACTCGCAACGCCATGTTTTAGTTCACGGCCGCCAAATACTACCGATTGGCCGAAGAGAAAGGCAACAAATTAGTGGGAAATTCCTGGTACGTTAAAATGTCCCTTTTCAGCGTCGTATTTTCATTGTTTGATGCCCATTTCTGGGTCCTCCACGGGGACAGTGTGACGAGCATTGCCTCAGACCCCAGCGCTCTGCACCCGGCTCTCCTCACTTGCAGGTGTTGTTGCGGGATGCATTGATAGGCGCTCGGAGTTTCCGCTTCCCTGCGCCATGCAAACCAGCGTCACGCTCTCCGCCAACCACAGCCCCATTTCCCCCCATCAGCGGGTTTCTGGAGTTTAGGCTGACATGATCTTGTTCAACGACAGGATATGGAAGGACAAGTACAACCCGCACTGAACCGCTAGGGCTGTGTACCTGCTGTTTCTAGTTACTACGACCTTTCATCCGTACCGTCCCATCAGATGACGATGGCGTTTTGGACCGAGCTGAAGCAAGGCTAGAATGCTTCCACTTTGTTAGCCGGCTTCTTGCGGCCCAGACGTCCTTCTCCTTCCCACTTCGTATCCCGGCTCTGGGACACAGACCTCCTTACCTACTACCTTTTACCGATTAATTTTCTTCCATTCTTCGCTACCATCACCATGAAGGGAACGGCAATGATGATGACCCAAGCATCCAGCCTCATCTTTTTTCCTTACTGACACCCAATCTCAGAGCGTACTTTTGCTTACTTCCCTTCCCCCGGATGTTCATACTACTTCCTTTCTTGGACTTTTCTTCTAATGTTACATACATGCATACATACCCACTCTGCCTGTGCCACACCCACCGAAGCAGAGCAAATAATCGCTATCATTATACCATTACCCACCCCCATTTCCTCTTTTGTCTTCTCCCAGGACCCACGAAGTACCTTGCATTGAGTAACGTGTATGTGCATGGCATAACATCGCTTCGCATCATGTTGTTTGCGTTCGTGGGCTTGCATAGTCCCAGTAACATACTTTGCTCTAGTCCCACCCGTCACGTTGCATATGTAACCACAAGGTAGACCACTACTAGGGTAGGTAAGTAGGTAGGAATGTACGTAGTACTATTTACTGCCCGAACAAAATGCATTAATTAACCAATACATTATAGATGCATGATGACCTGAGGTAGTACATATAACCAACCCAAATAAGCAGAGTAAATAAGAAAATAGTAATCAAGATAGTTGTGCATACCACCAGATACCATACCCATTCCCATGTTATCATCAATGAATGACTACTAATTATGCACATAGCATAACCACCATCCCGATAAGTACACAACCCCCCGGAACATAATGGTAGACAGTAGACAGAATTCAAACTCCGACGTGCGAGGCGGAGTCTATTCCCACAAGAAAATGTGCTGCGATTGTAGTTGTAGTACATAGTTGCAGACAGTCCAACCATCTATCCAGAGTCGCCTTTCCATAGACAGTATCTCCAAGTTTCACGCTTGAACTATATATTGGGTGATTCTCTGTGCGATGCGATGTGGTGACTTGTGTGTGATTATAGCTGGTTCAATGATTTTTAGCTCGACTGCTGTCGAGTTGAGGTTCGTGTCGAGTGTCGTCCAGGGTGTACCATTTGGTAGCTCTTTTTCTCTCTCTTCGAAGCTTTGCAGAGTCGATTCAGGGAAGAAGATTTGGGATGTTTCCTGTTCAATGAGAAATAAAGGCCTATCTCGGATAAGGAGAGTAGGGATAGAATGAACAGGACAGGACAGCCATGTGCAGAATTGTAGCTGGCCAATTGGCTCCCTGTAACTTTGTTGAGAGTTAGATGCAGTGTGTTGTGGGAAATGTCTCAATGTGTTCTTGGAAGTTTGGGAGAACAATTCAAGAAAGGAGGCTGGAGATGTCCTTCCTTCAGGGGAATAATTACTCTTGGGAAAGAGATTGAACGTGACACGATGTGTTGTTTGACGTTATAGCTGGCCACTTGACTCCGCGCAGCTGTTGTCGAGGTTGATGTAGAGTGGTTTCGCTTAGCGTCGTACTGATGCTTTCTTGGAAGATTGAAGGTAAAAAAGCAATTTGGCGGTCTTGGAGTGTCCTGCGCCCAAGAGATAATTCTCTTCTTGGGAGAGAAATTAGATCATTGTGAGACCATGTTTTGTATAAAAGTATAGCTGGCCAATTGCTGTCGCTCAGCCGTTGTCGAGGTTGATGTGGAGTGTCTTGTACGAGTCACAGCTATGTTGTTCTGGAAAGTCTCCAGAGCTGACTGAAGGAATTATGTAACTTGACGGATCTAGTGGATATTGTTTCCCCTGTCGGTTGGATCAGGTTGGAACTGTTATTGGAGTCCCATGTTTCTTGCGTTGTGCTGGAGTAGCACTGTCGGAAAATGTAGGATGGTATGCGAAGGTTATCTCCCCATCAGAATAGTCTTCTGGGGGTGTGCTGGCACAAGGAAGCAGAGTGCAGGAAGCGTTGAAGTTGGCTCTTCTTTCTGTTTGTCGGATGAGCTCTAACTAATTGCGTCTCTTTCACTGTGTCATAATCATACTGTGGGGAGTTTGTATAGTATGCGAAAATGACCTTTCCGTCTGACCTGGTTTCTGGTTTGTGTGATGACACAATGTGGGAGGATGCTCGAACCTTTGGATGATTAAAATCTCTGTCGGTTGCGTGAGCTTGAATAGTCATGTCTCTTTCGTTGTGCCCCAGTAGTACAGTTGGAAGTGTAGTATTAAATGGGAAGATGTTCTTCTCACCAGAAGAGTCTTGCCGGTGAGTTCACGCATGGTAGGAAGGTACTTGACTGCTTGGACAGACGACTTTTCTGTCGGTTGGGTAGTTAGTCGGATCTTCCTCATCGACGTGCTGAAGTGGTAGAGATATTATTGACAGCACATGGGGCAATGCTGAACTCTGGGTCATAAGTGTCATCTTCGTTTCTGCATATCGCAAGTATGAAGAAAGCAAATGCCAAGTAATAGAAAGCATTTTCAATACTGCAAGGGAAGAAATGCGCGTTTTTCGCATCTTTGAGCTTCTTTTATGTCCGTGCTATCTTTTTCTCCTTGCTCACTGGCAATGAAATCTTGTATGCGCTCTGACTATCAGCAGGCAGCACTGCATCATCTGACATTATCAGGATAGCTTCTCAAGATCCGGTGTGTCTAAGATAGTCTGTCGTTGTACCATGCTTCCCAGTCACTGGAGGAGTTTAGTTCTTCTCTCAGGTGAGGCGAAGTTGTCATTGAGCAGTTTCGCGTTGGAGGAAGGTAGAGGGATCTCCTTTGCTGAATCCTCTTATATAGATGGACCCCATGACATCATACCGAACAGACACGCGTATAAACATTCAGTTTCCCAGAGAGTATTATTGCCGTGTTCATACCATACCTGCAATTCTTCATCCACTTCTTCATAAAGTATATACGAGATCTTCCACATAAGCAAGATGTGACATGGTTGAGTAGAACCCTTGATTATTGTAAGGAGTGCAAACGATAGCCATCCGTGTCGATCTTAAGTTCCCAAGTATTAACTTCGTCGGAATAGTCTGACACAACTAGTATGGCGCGCAATCCTCCATTCTCCTCGACCGGGGGAGTCAAAGCAAATGTTGCTATTATCGCGTCGTTTCAACCCAGTCATGGCCGTCAGATTCTTCCAACCACCAAACAGGCAGTCGACGCATTTGTTTCAGGTGTCATCAAGACGAGAGTAGCATCGCATGGAGCAATAACCCGTACCTTGGCTTAATACCTTTCCCTCGGTGGGCCAGTGATAATTTAAAGAGTGATCAAGGTGCTGCTCGACGTGGAACCTTCTATGGGAAAAAACCCGGTTCTTGAGAGGAAGATTTGGCTGGTATTTATATAGGCTAACAGGCGCAAGCCTTCTAGCTCCGCCGGCGCTATATCGGAGAAAGATGCAACTTATCACTTGCCTCCGAAAATGACTTTTTGCCGGATCTGACTCGTAGCCGTGATTGTACAGCGCCCAGACAGCACTGGCTGATGGGTTTCGCCGCATTCATCACGCATCTGGAGCATCAAATGCAGGAAAGAACCAGTGACCTTTGCCAGATGCAGACAGGCTGTGGAAGAACTGATTTTAAGTCGATAAGTTCCAGGGAAGATGTTCCGTAGACATACCCTTTGTCTGCTTCGTCTAAGCCATTACTTCAACACACCCGGCATTCGGAAAATGATACTCGGGAACAGGAAGATACGAGGTTGGACTTAGCGATGTGAACTAAACTGGAGACTTTAAGCTTCGCGTATCAAGCAGACGAAGGCCACTTCGGCTGGTAAATTCCATTGGCGATGAGGTGCGAAGGGAATACGACGAGCCACGTCCAAGGGCATCGATGCCGGTGCACATGAGAATCGTGCACCAACCTTCATCATGGGCAATATCTCCTTCGGATACAGAAGAAGATTTCCTTCTCATCCGGCCATTCTGCGTTCTTTTGCATTGACACGGACGGGTTGATCTCAACAGCTAGGGACATGCTCTCTCGTAATAGTCGTATCTAAAAGGTATAAATGTGACCTAGTAACACTGCGGAAAATATAAAGGGAATGTCAAAGCGGTAAGCTGGAATGAAGCGTTCATAGATGGTCTGTACCTTGGCCATATATATCATCTTCGGTTGCTTGGTGTGTTACTCATGCGTCCATATCTCAAAGTGATGTGTTCTGCTGGTCGTGAGTCGAATTTTGCATAATGGGAATTAGTCCTCCAAGATATGCACAGGGCGCGATAAGCAGCCATTCAAGGGAGATTGCTGTGACATTGCCCTCTGAAGCCCCTCAATTGAGTTGATGTTGTAAGTATCCAAAAATGCTTCATATGAGTGGTGAAAGATGAGCTGATGTCCCAGAAGCCTTTGAAGTATGCAGGCTAGTCCCTTAGATATATCAGGTACGTCGTTGCGCTTGTTTGCTGTGTTCAACGCGTCGAAGCTCTCGGCAGCACTGATCGAGATCACGTCATTGGCTTGTTTTCGTGGATCTCGTTCAAGGCGAAGGTTTTGATGACAGGATGGAGTGATGCCCATATTCATCCAAATTGCTAGAGCACGAAGCTGAATTGTTGTTCACAATGAGTGAACCACAGGCCTTGGCCACAGGGAACAAATGGTACTTTCATACCGCCAGACACTGCTCAAGCAGTTGCCAGAGAAAGCGAGTGAGTAAGTGGATGTTAGGCACTTCGTCATCCTGTACCAATACTGACTCTTCCCTCTTCTGCGTCACGGACCAATTAGTCTGTTGGTGGAGTGATCACAGAGACAATCACCCAGTATACTCGTCACGCAAGCGAGACATTTCGCAGTGTCGAAGCTTGAAGAACACCGCCTTATATATATGGTAGGTAAAGCGTTTTTCTGCAAGTTTCGCTTCATCATCAGTAGACATTTTTGACGACTCTAGACGCGTGCAACTCGTCTTGTTGGAATTGATCGTAAACAAGGACGACAAGACCGTGTAAGAAAGTGATCGGGTAGCTCATGAATGGTTCTTGAAAGACCCAAGTGTATTCGATTTGATTGCTCCTTTCGATATTGCCTTGACCGACAAGCCGATCCTTGAAGCCTCTGACAAAGGACAGATTGTGGCATGGCTCGGTAAAAGTGACGCCGGCTTTATATAGCAGATGGTAAAGCACATTCCAGACACAGTGTGTTGACCGTGCACAGGGTATTGCCTACCACTGTGGTTATAATCGACGAGGACTTGTATTCTTCGTCAATCTGGGATTGAAGCCATCGATCATTGCTCTTGCTTTGGAGTGACTTGGCAACGATAACCGGCAGGGCTATTTGGTGTAGCACGTTTTGGCGTGCGCTTAGTGATACATCGATACATTGCATGATTCGATGAAGCTTCCATTGTATGGCTTCTTCAATCACTATCAGTATGATTCTCGGGTATGGAGCAGTTCCCGGAAACGTTGCTTCTTGGCCGGGGTGGAATGCGGTTGATACCCACACCCAGGCTGGTGGTGTTTGTCATTTTGTCGAAAGACAAATATGTATATCGTATATAATGACTTTGAGTCGAAGTATGGCTGTCCAATCTCCGTATGAGATTCATCTGTTCGCGATCGGCAGGAGGCCCGAAAAAGTCGGAAGTATCTCGTAAAGCAGCGATTGAAGACACTCAGTATTCGGAAATCTGTTTGGGCTGTGGCATATTTGTCAACAAATCATAAGCGTATGTAGACTAGTAATTAGAAATAGACTTACTGCAGTGTTGCCCCAGAATCCAAAGCAGAATGAAACCAAGTGGGCTTCTTCGAGGAAAGTATTTCTCTATCACATATCTTTGGGAGATCGACATCGCTGGTCACTCCGCAGATGAATGGGCCTCAAGAGGCGCCCTTCCCGAAATGTGGGATTGCGGTGACTAGGTATCCCAAAGACACAGTGCAGACGTGTTCATAGTGGGTTCCTTTTCTTTGCAGGAGGCACGAAGCCTGAGCCGGTGATTTTGTAAAGAATGACGCCCCGGCACGCACCAAAGACTCAGGGGACGTATCCCCTCTCTCATTCGTCTTGTAGAACAACACTACCGCATGTGATAGGGGCTTAGTACACTTTGTCATGCCCGATGGTATCGCACGCAAGAATTCGGATACGATATTCGTCACCGAACTTGAAGTAAGTTAGGTTTTGGTTGTGTGTGAAGCTGATTGAACATGACGGAACCAAGAAGAGATGGGGAGAACCACTTGTCGAGCCCCATCCAAATAATGGATGTAACTGGTTTGCTTTGACCGAGTTGAAAGCGAGTTTCTGCTGTAGGTTGCAGAGAATGACGATGTGCTGTTCCTTGGATATTTCCTGGAAAGCGACGACACTTCCAAGACAACATCTCCTCCCTCGTTTCTCGTAGCTCCGAGGAGATACATTAACCTTCCATCCCCTGGTGAATCACACTTGATAACAGATTCTTGTTTGTATCAGGAGCGAAAGCCGCAGACACAAATTCATCATCGTAATAAGCCCATCCGCCGAGTTCGTGAAGAGAGGTTGTTAGGAAAAGGAGGATGAGGGCATGCTGTAGGTTTCACCGCGGTATGAGCGAAGGGAAATATGGTGTCAACGTTAGCCTTGGGTGCCGCAAGGTAGAGATTGGGGTGAGTGGAAGATGGAGAAGTCTTTGGGAGGAGTCTTTGCGAGGGTAGGCCTCCGTATAGCTTCTGAATAGGATTTAGGTGCGCAATCCCAGAGAAGAATTACATGGCACAGAACATGACACGCTTGCTCTGGGGTATATAGGCAAGCAGGATTCAAAACTGACAGGCCACATCGCCCACACATTCGGTTTCTGGTAGTATACCCTGCCTATAAAGGAGGGAGATTCAGACGAGTTCGGTCTTTAGTCGAGTCAATGCTTCCATGGATGTACCCATGACGGAGATCTGTTGCGGTCTAGTATCTCTGCGATTTGAGGAGTATGAGCGGATTATGTTCCATCGGGCAGTGGTCGCGAATATCGTCACCTGAAAGTAGAAACGGTCAGTTGAATGGTCAAGCGTCTGTTAACGAGGACACAAGACTTACTCTGCTGGAGATTTCCACTCAAGATCGTATATAACTGCTTGCCTATGACGTATAAGGGACCGTGAAAGTCGGGACCATTGTTGCCCGATCCCAGGCCAATATATGTGACTCAACTTATAATCTGAGTAGTCAAGGTCTCAAAACCCCCTCACGATGAGATGAAAAGTAAGGGGAGACTAAATTGGCTCTGTCACAGAGTTCTTAAACGCCAGAATAGCCGGAATTGATGATTTCATCTTCAGCTTTGCGGGTTCGCGACTTGAATGAAAACGGTTATGATTCGGTGGTTTTCTAATTCATTAGATGCCTGGCTGATACTTGCAGGGTAATAGGCAATCAGAATGCAGTAATACTGTAGTAAGAGATGCTGGAAGTCTTAGGTCCGGTATGATGGCTCCGTTTTCTCTTGGAGCTCGCATGGGTATGACAGAAAGTCGGTAGGAAGATTGAACAAGGGTCCTCGATAGTAGTGATTCGAGCATATCCACATCAATGTGTTACTGCTTGCGAGAGAAATTAAGCAAGTGCAGTGACCGTGCTTGTGCTTCCAAGGAAGGTATGTCTCACAAGCTACAAGAAAGTGGAACCTTGGTCTAGGTCAAAAGCCAACTTGACCTGGACATGTCGGCACACCAGTTCTAGGTTGCTCAAAACCAAAGGGACATGTTTTGAGTAAGGAAGGTCGTCATCAAGTAAAGCATGCGAGACACATGCGATTCCGTAATTTGTTATATTGTTTGTTTTATGATTCAGTCGCTTCGTACTTGGTCGGTTTGTTGGCAATAGCGCAAGTTCTTTCAGCGGTCACCGTATATGGAGGAGGAATCGACCTAGACCCGGGTTTATAGAAATGTGTAGCAGGGCTCATCGTAAAAACGCTGTCGTCACTGAAATGGTTGCTGATCCTACATACAGCTCACCAGACAGTGTGATCCCACTGTAGTGAGTGCTCTGTTAGAAAGTGATCTGATGTCTGTAGATGCTCCCTTTGTTCACTCACAAGACATACAGACTCTGCAGAGCCCAGCTTCGAGCGATATGATGTTGGCTTTGCAGCAATGCTGCGACGCCAGATTCCATTTTGCTGGGAAGCAGACGATTTGCTGGGAAAGATGCATGGTTGTGATTAGCTGGCACCGGTTGTTCCCGAGCTTATCACCTTAGACTTATGTGAATTGATCCGACATGTTGTAGATCGTGCCAAGATATGTTTCAGCACCTCTGAAGAACGTCTTCTTCGCAGACACTGCGTCCGGACGATACTTAAAAGCCAAGTATCGGCTGCTCCTTTAGACATGTCTAGGAGCTAGCGGGATAAAGTAGAGGAAGATGACGCGCAGAGCTTCTTCTAAATGATGCTGCGCTCAGCAACGCTCTGCCTAGGTCTCAGTACATTGTCAGTATGGGAATGGTAGCGAGAGTCAGGTGTACGCTGGAAGAGAATGACTGACTTATTTATCAATGACAGCATTCAGATATTTGGCGCTGAAGCTATATAGCATGAACAGAGTAAGCTAGCGGTCTCGGCGCGATGGTGAGACCCCGGTCAAATGACCCATCTATGCTAGTGTTGCTGCTCAACTAGTGACGATGTAGTAAAGAGCGTGTTCAAACACGTTCGGTAAAGATGTATAGAAGGTATAGCAAAGAGATATGCATAACTGATGGATCCTGGCAATTGCGACGGTTGCGACCGCTTGAAGCTTGCAGGGCCGATCCACGGAAGCCTGAGCCTTCATTATCTTCAGAACTGCGATCACCGCAACTGAATTCGCGGTTGGGAAGTTTTTGCATCTTCCAGGGATATAATGCACAGTGAGTAGTGCTTATCAACATACTTCAGGGAATGATGTGTAGATGATGCTGCAGACACCAGCGTTGTAGGGATGAATATAGACCATCCACAGTGTGGCACTATTATCCAGAGCACGAAGATAAGAGTATAATGTGCTCCTCTTGAGGTGAGAGCTTGACAGATTCTTAATGACAGGGTATAGAAGGCAAATTAAGAAAGATAAGAGATGAGAATATGGTAAGCCATGGGCGTGAGTCGCGTTGAGCAAGCCACAGACCCAGTAAAAGAAATAAAGAAAGTAGTGGCTTTGCTTAGAGAGGTGTATATAGATCAGACAATAGTATAGTATGGCTCATGGGATGAGAGCCATGCTAGGGTAGTCATGATCGAGATACCCTTTTTCTATACAATCTCTTTTCTGTGCTATGAGAAGGATAAGAAAGAAGAAAGAAAGGAAAAACTCAGATGAGAGAAGAATCGGGACCCGTATTTATAGCTGCTCATCCCAGGAAGAAATGGAATACAATCGCCGCGGTGATGGTCGTTTACAGTGACGGGGATACGTAGTGACGGAGACATCCAGTGACGGCGTAAACGGGATGTAGTGATTTGGAATATGAGGTGGCGTTTTTACGTTAATAGACAGGGTGGAGAGATGGACAACCCTAAGAATTTAGTAGGCTTTTGATCGTGAAATATGATAATCGTGAATTCGCACCTTCACGATATCTAGGAAGGTAATATGCCTACAGTGACGCGTATATCAGACGAATGATCTCATTCATTGTCAGTAGCTTACTAGTACTAGGCAGGATTTGTATGCAAGTCCGAGACCGGAAGACTTTTATTCCATGAGGTTGTCCAAACTCCTTAAATCATTGCTGCCAATACTATATACAGTACAAAAAGGTGATCCACAGATGACAAACGAAATATAGTCTCTTCAAAAGAGTGGACGGGACAAGCCCAAGATCATCTGTGTCATGCCACATGCACATGCACGGGCATTTGTCAAGTATCTGACAAAAGAAAGTAAACGAGTGGTAGGTTGCAGAGCCATCCAGTATGGCTTCTCAGCAGACCCAGATCGAATCATCATCGCAACATAGACATTAACAGGCATCCCACATCCCAAATCATAAACATGTCAGTCATATCATAACAATCATAGCAAATGCCACTGCAGCCCAACCTATTCCCCACGCGATGCACGCAAAACCAAAACAAAATCAAAAACCACAACAGTTCAAAAGCAATGAAACAGAAACCCGAATCCAAATCATATGCAAAATGTAAGCAAGCGCTCGATATGTTCCGTCCCGTTGTTCCGTTGGACTGCCTGCGACGCGCAGGCAATGTCCCATGGTGAAATTCAAAAGATGCCATCCGTGAAAGAAAGTCATAAAAATCGACGAGCAGGTGTGGAGGTAGATGTAAACGACTGCAACATATTTCAGATGCTCGAGAAATCCACACTCAACTCGGAGAATGAGAAAACGCTGGTACGCCGATAAAGCCGAAGGAGTGCGAAACGTAGAACAACATCGCTAAATTGTCAGACGAGGTCATCATGAAGCTAGTCCGTAAGATATATCCAGTCGAAGTGAATGGTAAGCTGTCTATGTATGTATATGGCTAAATCTGGCTAAAAC